CGCGGACGCGCCCGCGGACACCGGGACCGCCCGCGGACAAGCCCGGGGACGCGCCCGCGGGACCGCCCGCGGACACGCCCGCGGACCGCCCGCGGACAGCCCGCGGACGCGCCCGCGGACCGCCCGCGGACGCGCCCGCGGACACGCCCGCGTGACGCGCCGCGGACAGCCGAGGACCGCCGGACGCGCCCGCTGGACCGCCTACGGACCGCCCGCGTACAGCCCACTGGCGACGCGCCCGCTGACATCGCCCGCACCGGACCGCCCGCGACACCCCGCGGACGCTCCCCTCTTACACTCCCTCTTACTCTCCCTCTTACACTCCCTCTTACTCTCCCTCTTACACTCCCTCTTACTCTCCTTCTTACACTCCCTCTTACACTCCCTCTTACACTCCCTCTTACTCTCCCTCTTACTCTCCCTCTTACTCTCCTTAAATCCCTACAAGCACATATTTTATTTAACATAATGACTCTTTGAGCCAACAATGCTTCAATTGTTAATCAAAAGGGGGAATTAAAGGAGTGTGTGTATGTGTGTGTGTCTGTGCTTAGTGGCAGGTCGCCTGGAGGGGGTAGGTGAGGAGAAGAAATACGGTGTGGAGGAGAAAATAAGACCCCCCCCCCCCCCCCCCCCTCTCTCGGCAGGGACTGATCTAATTGATTTAGTCACGACAGTCTCAGCATTATTATTTAAAGGAGAATAATTAAATTACTATTCAGTTTGTCTCTCTGTGTCTCTCGTTCTTATCTCTGTCTGTGGCTGGGCTTACATTGCCCCTCCAGGTACTACAAAAAAAAAAAATATATATATATTTGGAAGTTGAGTATGAACATGATAATGGTGCATTGTGAAAGAGACCAAGAGAAAATCCCTTGAAGTCACCTTCACAGCACAACTAATCTACCAACGAGGTTTAAAAGCTATAACAAAAACAACAAAACCAAAGAATGATCCATAGGACAAATACCAAATTGTAGCAATTTCCCAGACTCTCCCAGGCAATGTGTCTGAGGTAAATGTGGCCCTGAGGTTTGACGATAGATCATATTCATAATGGCGCCACTGTAATTAGGGGACTGGGAGTTGTGGCGTGGGAGTAGGAAGACGACCGGGGGAGGAAATGATGGTGAGATGTTGTAAGAGAGGGTGAGAGGGTGAGAGGGTGGGGTTGGGGGGGGGACATTTCATTGGGTGGGGGGGGGGGTGGGGGCGAAGATGAAGAGTTGTGTTTGGGAGATGAACGATGTAGTAAGGAGTCATGTAAGGGGAGGAGGATGGGGGCTGATGAAGCTTAGGAATCGAGTATGGATGAGGAGGTGAGGAAGGGAGGGGGAGGTTGAGAAATGGTGTAGGGAGGATGAGGGAGGTTGGAGGTTGATGAGGCAAGGGAGCGAGACGGGGGCGGGGGACAGGGCTGGGGGCCGGGGGGGCGGACGGCGCTGCCTGTAAGGGCTCCATTAACAGGCTGATATGGAGATGGATGGGCTCCACTCTGTGTGTCAACACAGCCACGCAGTTGTGGATGTCAGACGCTGTTTACTCCCCCTTATTGCTATCGATTTCCACATTGGGCACAATCTTTGCACCAGGAGAGCGGATAATATTCACTTACTGGGAGGTAAGAGGGCAGGGAAAGGGGGGAGAGGAGGGGAAGTGAGACACACAGGCCATTTGGAGCTCTATGAATGAACATGAGGGGCAAAATACTCCCGTAGCAACATCATTATGACAAAATGAAATGTTTTGTGGTGATTCATTTTGAGCATAACATTAAAAAAACATGATTTCCCCTCACTGCTGATGCCAGCTCTGTGAGCTGAGAAAACCTTCCCAAGCACCCAAGAATAATCGGTTACAAAATATGTTTGTCTTTTCTTAGGAAAGAACTAACCTTTACTCCACTTACACCACTGAGAAATCATACCGAACACACACATTTAAATCTGTGTGGGAAGGGGGGCCAAGTCAAAGTGGTATGCCAAGAGGGAAACATATAATAGGACACGTGAGGCTTTAAAATGTGTACATATGTTCCCATTCATATGAATGAGGTGGAGAGGTGGTCAAAAGCTGACAGTGATTCTAACCAAACATCCAGTGCCTGGATGTACTGTTTATGTAAGATTACTCTCTGGTTCCATTACACCAGGTCTATTCTCTGCCTTGCACTGTTTCCAATGAATGATTCCACTTGATAATCATTGACAACAAAATTATACATCACGATTGATAGTCATAGTCCAATCATAGACAATCACAATCAAAAGCTCCAGTTATATTCTGCATTACTAATCTGTCTCATATAAAAAAAATATTTAAAACGGTTATAAAACCAATCATGTTCAAGGAAAAACAACCAACACCATCTTATCAGGAAACACCCTGCCTTGTCTTCAGAAATAGGCAGTTTATAGAAACACAACACTATAGATATCATGTTAGTGAAACATGACCACATAAACATGTTGAGAATGGAGAAGTGAGTTTGGGTGGCCACACGTCCTCCTGTACCTCTCTGCATGTGAAACAACTCAAACCACACAGAGAGTATTTATAGTGCAGGAGAATTCTCTCTTTTAACTGTTTTATTGTTTTCCACGTATTGATACCACGTGTTGACTTGGGGAAGAGATGCTGGTTTATGTTTCTCCATGGGCTGCATTAGCTAGTGGTTTTACACAGAAATAGCACGCAGGGCAGCGCAGGAGGTTTTCACCAACTCAACCCCTACTTTGACTCCTCGCAAAAATGTCAGCGGTGGAATTACTGATCTAAAAAAAGAGATTGCAGTCATAATATTTCAAAAGATGTATTATTTTTTTATAAAGTGACCCAATATGAACAGGAGTTTGTCCTTGGAGTCTACTTCAAGTTTTAACTTGAGAATTAGAGTACCCCATTATATTAGGGCCAGAATTCAACAGAACACATGGCATTGCTGCTTCTTCGTAACCTTACTCGACCACTGTCAGAGAACAACACATTACAGGTTACTACAGCAGCTCGTTACAGTTGACCACCACCAAAAGTCGCAACCTTAGCGAGAAGGAAAAATAAGGTTTTAAGGAGAATTTTCCAAGATTAGGCTCCTGGTTGTCGACACTGTGGATTTTCAACTGTCTAGTAGTGTATAACGGAGTATAAATGCACAAAGCCTCTCTAGCCTTTGCACACACTGTATATATATTTTCTGTTGTATTTTTGACTTTATGTTTTTTTTTTACCCCATATGTAACTCTGTGTTGTTGTTTTTATCGCACTGCTTTGCTTTATCTTGGCCAGGTCGCAGTTGTAAATGAGAACTTGTTCTCAACTGGCTTACCTGGTTAAATAAAGGTTAAAAAAAAAAAAAAAAAAAGCCATAGAATCATAGGGACAGGCATTCTGACAGCGCTCGCCCAAAGAAGATCAGATCCAAATGAGTAAAACTAAACAGCAATAAATAAATGAACACAATCCCCCCTCCCTCTCTTCCTCTCTTCCTCCCCCTCTCCCCCTGCTCAAACCCCTATGTGAAGGATTCCTTGCAATCACACAGATCAATGCTCATTGAAATTTCATGAGGGCAGATCCAGGCCTCATCATATTTCACAATAATGACCTGGAGAAGAGGATGGTGTGAGTGTGGGGGGAGGAGAGGAGGAGGGGTGGAGGGGGTAAGGAGCGGGGTCAGACCCCCCCATAAAAAATTGGTCGTTGTAAAGCACGGCGTGGGGGAGAGGGAGGGAGAGAGCCTAAATCACTACTGAACACCACCCTACTGCTGCACACTGGGGCACACCCACTGAGCAGTGTTCCACATATATTCCTGGATACCTACACATATACATTGTAATAAAACCAGCAGAACTAGATCAGGATGGATTTTCACACTGTTCTCTTCACCTGCCCCTTCCACATTAGCCCTGGCCCTGGCCCTACAGTAAATAAAATGGAGATAAAACACCAACATTGCTTCCATTGTTTAATTTTTTGTTCTCTCTGTTTTTCCCCATTGGTGTTAACCAGGCATGTTTCCCTAGCTCAGGTGGGAGTGTTAAATGGACTGGGCCACGTTGGACCAGGCCGGGCTGGGCCGGGCTCCCTCAGGTTCTGATTGGTGTTAGCGGTGTAGCTACTGTAGCCAGCTAACCCTCCTGTGTGTGGTAATAGCTAGGGCTGCAGGCCTGCAGTTTAACAAGCGTTGGGCCGGAGCTTGGAGAAGAGGGGAGAACGGGGGAGAGTGAGCGGCGCGGTAATGAGCGAGGGAATGCAGCGCGGCCTCTCCACTCCTCCCCCGCTCTCCTCTCCTCCCCCTTCGGGCTCCATGTTTCTCAGGTGTGATCTCATGGCTGCGGATGGGAATCGATACGCTCAGCAGCCCGGCGCTCAATACCTCTGAATTATGGCTTCATTCTTCTCCTTATTATAGATGAGTTATTTTTTCCAAGCCCATACCACTTTGGGATCAATAGAATACAATCTTATTTTTATACATTTTTCCATACACCCTGTAGGATTTTTTGTGTGTCTTTTTCTTCTCTATCGGAGCTAAATGAGGCCTTGTGCCCGGAGGGAGAAACGACATGTATGCCTGAAATCCATATCTAAAATGGACTGCTTGTTTTTTCTAGAATTTGTACCTGGCTTGTCTTTGGCGCGGTGGGCAGAAAGTCAACTGTGAAAGGATCTATTAGGAGATCAACATAAGCTCCATCCACTGACTGTTAGACAGGGGAGGAGATAAAGGGATGGTAGAGCCTTGCAGATGTACAGTTCTACCTTCCAATGGCCTTGCTTCACCCTTCACTCCTCTTGTCTACACTGTACTGTAGCTACATTAAATTAGGATGATTTAGGGAGAGAAAATTCCTGGTTTTCTTTCTCTCTCGAACTCTCACTGTCCCTCTTAATCTGTTTCACACCGTCTTCAGCTCTAGACTTGTCATCAACAGGGTTTTATTCATTTTGCCTTTATTTAACCAGTCATTGAGAACACAATAACGACCTGAAGGTTAGGGTATGGTGTAACCACTGTCTCTTACCTGAGAGAAATTAGAGAAACGATATGGAGAGAAAAGGGCTGTATGTAATTTCTCAGGCTGTGGATATGGTGTTACAAACAGAGTCCCTAATTGTGCAGGGAGTCAGGCATTACAGTAGGCAGACACACACACACACACACACTATCTCAAGTCACACACATGCGGCATCTTTGTTTTCTATTTGTTTATTGATTGTCACTTGGCACTTTGTGTAACACAGAGCGGTGACATCAACGTTGTGTTTCACAGGTGACATGACACCTCCACCAGACGCCATTCTCAACAACACATATGTCACACGGTGGCGGTGGCTGAGAGTCAACAACACACTACAACCACTGCCAGAACACACTGAGGACGTGTGCCAGGGGGAGTGATAATAATCTGCGTATTTGTCTTTTTGCTAATTGTTTTTACCGACATGTAGCCTACAGCATGACAGAACATAGGTGGGATCAAGTCACTATTATTCGAGTCACAAGCAAGTCTCAAGTCACAAGGTCCGAGTCTCAAGTCGAGTCCCCAGTAGAACGGGTCGAGTCTCGAGTCAAGTCCATGTCGTGCATTCTACGAGCAAGTCAAGGCGAGTCGCACCTTTTTTCAAGTAAAGTCTCAGTAAAAAAAAGACAGGCATTTTCATTATTTTGTCTACAACACATTTTGATGATGTAATAATACATTTGAACAACAAATTCCAAATTGAAGCTTCATAGGTAAATGATAAATTTCAAGCAATTTTGACATACCAAAAGACTATTAGGCCTATGCTAGTAATTGTTGCTTGATGCCCCATTGCTGGTGAGCTCGCAAAGTAAATTAAGTTAATATTCTTGATCACCAAACATGTTTTGGAGCTGCATATTGATTTATGCCAATCCTATCTCCCTAGAATTTGACGTTTGTGCTGCAAGCTATCCAATAGCTGTACAGTAAATCAGCAATCTGTTCTCTAGCTCACCCAACTGTGTTGATTGACAGTTTGCTGGTCCAATCAGAGGGCCAACTGTGCGTTTCACTAGCCAATCTATTGCACGTTTTTTATGGAAGTGCGATGCTGCGGCTACTGTCTCTGGCTGCATGGAGAGCAATCCACGCAGACTCTGTGCCACGAAATGAGTGACAAAACGTTACAAAACCTGGACAGATCATTTCAAGTCATCAGTCTCAAGTCAAAGTCGAGTCTCAAGCTATTTTATTTTCTATCAAGTCGAGTCTCAAGTCATCAAATTTGTGACTCGAGTCCAAGCCATGTGACTCAAGTCCACACCTCTGTGACAGAATAGAATGAGAGAGAGAGGGAGAAAAGAGAAAGAATCCTCTGTGTTTATAGTAGGTGTAGACTGTAGGTTGTAGGTTGTGACTACACCCACTCCACTATAACATTGCAGTGATCTCCTCCTGCCTACTAGCCTTTCATTAACCCTGTTGTAGGAGGAGGGTGGGAATCCCTCTGTCTGACTGATTCGCTGGCCAGTGGCAGCTGACATGGACCCCGTGGTTACCAGGTAGCCATTGATTTCTGCCTGGCCCAGCTGTAGAGGCTGGGGTGCTTGAGAGACGTTCATGCCGATGCCTGTATTGATTTAATTAGGCCCTCAACTCCACCGCGCTCCGTCTCTACGGCAGCAAATGATTAGTGGTGCCAGCTGTCCTGCGGGTGCCACCGTGTCCAGCTGCCACCCACCCACCCATGCCTACCAATCACCCATGCCCAGGACGGGTGCACTGCACACTGGCACAGGAGTCCAGTCAACCCACCACGAGGTGCCGACTGGAGACACCAGAGGAAAATGAAGGGGTTTAGAGTCAGATCTCTTGTGGTGAGTTCTACTCAGCAGACCTGACTGGTGCCTCACAGAGGACACAGTACTGGGACTGTGGAGAGGGGTGGCATGGGAGTGCTGCTCAACCCAGTTAACACAGTGTGATGTATCTGTGCTGAAGGTAGAGGAGTTTGATCATATATCAGAGACTAAGGAGAGATAAGACGCTGAGTGTGTGTGAGAGCTGATGCGCGGAGAAGGCCCAGCTGTGTATTATTAGGAATATATGGTTTACGTGTACATTTCTCACCACGCAGATCAAGCAGACATAAGGCACTCCGTGGAAACCCATCTGCCAGCCACATTACAGACATTTTCTCTCTTAATTTATTTTTGATTTATAATTACTTTCAACTCGGGGCTCTCGTTTGTGCAGGGTGTGTGTGGTTAATTGCTCTGCCAGAGGGGGGACTAAAGCAACAACAACAAAAACAGCCGGAATCCGACAGAGAGCCAGTGAGCGCTCCCAGCTATGACCTTTCACCCGGGGAGAGAAGTCGACCTTGACAGGGGTGAGGTAACCGTCGGGCCGGATCGAATTTCCTAATTCACATGTTGAAGAAATTGGCAAATGAGAGGGTCAGGGTTAATCTCCGCCCACTTGAAAAAAGCACTTAGCAGCCAGACAGGCCTGTATGGATGGAGTCAGGTAGCCTGCGGGGAGGACGGCCCAGCACAGCCCGTCCGGGAACCAAAGATGATTAAAAATCATTTCTGTGTAATGAGACTTCCCCACTCCACAGCCAGCCCATTTATAGCAGGTCTTGGTTAGGGTGCAGAGTCACTGCCTTGCATAATGTCACACAACCCACAGAGAAGGAAAGTGGTCCCAACACGGGTATGGACATAACACTAAAACATGTTTTGCATCATCTTACTGATGGAAGAAATTATATGAGGTGTGACGTGAGTAGAAACTGGCTGAGTGGACAACACAGACACACAGACACACACACTGGATGGCGCCCTACTGTGTGGCATTGTGGAGCCGTGTCGGGAGGATCGATATTAATGAGTGAGGCCTCCCATCGTCACCTCTACTGCGTGTGCGTGTGCATGTGTGTGTTTGTGTCTGTGTGCATGCATTGTATTTGTATATGCATGCGTATGAGCATGCAAATCTGAGTGTGAAAGAAATAAAATGAGAGTGAGAGAGGGAAGGGGGCGCACTTCACTACAGAAGCGTTCCTCTCTCCTTTTTCCCTTCTTGTTTCAGAGGGGAAAGAGGAAAAGTGCAGAAAATGGAATAATGCCACAATCATTACAGGATTCTTAAATTGCTCTGGGATTGGTTCCACCCACTAAGAGAGCTCAGTGAAATGGTTTGCAGCCACGTTCCTCCATTATGTAGAACTTATTACAAACAAATTTCTCCTCCAGGGCATCTCTTATAATTTTCAATTAGGTGAAACGAGGTTGTGAGCCCAGGGAGGGCATGATCCACCACTGTTTCAGTTTCAGCACGGGGTGTGTGCGTGTGTGTGTGTGTGTGTGTGTGTGTGTGTGTGTGTGTGTGTGTGTGTGTGTGTGTGTGTGTGTGTGTGTGTGTGTGTTGCTATGAAAAAGAGCATGAGAGAATGAAAGATTGCTTGTTTTTGCGCATACTTATTTCTCTACGGGATTGTACATTCTTAACATCTTAAACGTGTATATGCGTGTGTGCGTGCATTTACGTTGTGTGTGTGTGTGTGCGTGTGTGAACCAAACATGCATTCGCTCACATTCTGGACGGATTCACTTTCTTCAAATGGCTTCAAGATGGAGGCCTATAAAGCCCAGACTGTTTTCCTAGCTTAATTGTAACACTTTTATGAGCATTTGTCGTTACAATCTCCCAATCTACAGTAATTAAGTCAACATTGGCCTCCCTCTGAACCTCCCATTCACAGAGTGGGTACTGTAGCCTACCGTCCTGCTAGTCCAACAGTCCTCCCTGTTACTGTTAAAGCAGCAGGGGGTACTGACTGTGCTGCAACACACAACCCTTTCTCAGCCTCTTGGCATATAAACCCTGCTCATTTCTGCACATAAACACATGGCTGTGGGGCCAGGCAGGCAGCGCTAGGCTAGTGGCTCTGCTCACTGACGGATGAATCAGGCCCCTCTTTCCTTCCTATGAGCGAGATAAGTTCTCTATTGGCCTTATCTGCTGGATTATACAGGATGTCACTGCTTGTGAGAGCGCCATGCCGTGCATTAACCTCCACACAGAGGAAATAGGTGGGATTCCTAGGCCAGATAGGCCTGTGTTTGCTAGGAAGCCCCTGTTGTCCACTGTGAATCACACAGCTACTCAGAGAGAGAGAGAGAGCTGGAGAGGCTCTCAGTGTGCAGCTATCTGTGTTTTCTGTTCCGTACTATGGAGTTGATAATAACCCACAGTCTGAACAAGCTTTCCTGCGTTTTGTACTCCTGTACTCAACTCTGTTATTAGATCTCTCACCTTGCAGATGGTGGTACTTTAAAGGTTCAGTATATATCTTTGTAGACGGTTATAGATCTGTCATTCTCATTTAAATAAAGTCTGGTAAGCGGTAGATCTGTTCTATGTGCGCTATTTCTATGCTTCCCGTCCTTAAGTTTCACATTTGCGTCTTTTTATTTTTGGTTGTTGAAAAGATATTTCACAGCTTGTACAATGATTCTCTACACTATACATTATATAATTATAGCAACCAGGCAATGGTGGAGCGATGTCTACATATTGTGTCTTTAACACAAGGCTCTTCTCTGTCTGATTCCCAGGCTCCATTCTCTGTCTGTAATAACCTGTAATGTGTAGTACTGTATATAGAGATGATGCTGCTTTAATACTTTAAATAATTGCAATATTCTGAAAGGACTACCTGTGTGACCCCCTGTAAGGATGTACAGTAGTGCATTGTGCTTGCAACGCCAGGATAGTGGGTTTGATTCCTGTGTATGCACGCATGACTGTAAGTCACTACAAATGTCTTCTAAATGGCATATACTATTCTTATTCTTATTATATTATTATGTACAGTAGGGAAACTGACCTGGGTTAAAAAGCTTTGGGGGGTCCCTTTTCCTTTGGGATTGGAGGAAAAGGGTATTCCCCCCCCCGGGTGGGGGGGGGAGCTGCAAAGGGGGGGCGGGGGGGGAGTGAGAAGGAGAAGAAAGGGGCAGGAGAGAGGAGAAAAAGAAGAGAGGGAGAGAAGAAAGAAAGGAAGAGAAAAGGGAAAAGGGGGGGGAGAGGGGGGGAGGGGGAAAAAGGAAGGGGCCCCCCCCCTTCTTTTAAAGGCCCCCCCCGGGGGGGGTTTTTTTTTTTTCCCCCCCCCCCCCCCCCCCCCCCCCCCCCTTTTTTTTTTTTTTTTTTTTTTTTTCCCCCCCCCCGGGGGATTTTTTTTTTTTTTTTTTTTCCCCCCCCCCCCCCCCCCAAAAAAAAAGGGGAAAAAAAAAGGGGCCCCCCCCCCCCCCCCCCCCCCCCCCCCCCCCCCCCCCGGGGGGGAGGGGTACAGGCCAAGCCCCTTTTTTTTTTGTATTTTTTTCCTCCCAAATTTTTCACTCTCCCCTCCCCTCTCCTCCCTCTCCTCCCCTGAGTCAGAGTTTGGGTGTGTGAGTGGTGCTCTTCAACACAGCAAACAAACACTTCAGGTCAATGAGTCTCCACTGATCCCTTTCTATTGTCTGCCAGGGTAAATACTCTCCACACTGAACAAGTGCAGAGGGAAAAGAGAGGACGTCAAACTGTCAACAAGGCCGTCAGACACGTAAACAACATGTTTATTGATTTGATGACTTGTGCTGAATGAAGGGCGTTTATGAGTGGACTATGTCATCTGCACTGCAGCAGCTAAGGATCTCATGTGTTGTTGAAAAGTGTTGTGAGTCTGGGTGGTGTAAAGAGAACACACACAAAGTGAGAGTGCTATTGTTGGACTGGAGCCATAGCTCCCCACACACCTGGAGAGGCTGTGTGTTACAGAAGGTACATAAACATGGAGCTTGAGTGGGGCTAGGGGAACAGCATGACAAGGATCAGTGTGTGTGTACTGAGAGTGTGTGTTCATTAAGCCTGGCCGACGGTTATCACAGCTCTGTGAGGCTGATCAGTAGATCTGGGGTACGGAGGGGGGTGGGGGGTGGGTGTGGTGGACTGGCAGGGTGATATTGAAGGGCCCTCGAGGCCCTGAGAGCAGGGAGCAAACACAGCCTCACCCCTGGCCCCCCGGTATGGGAGGGCGGTAATTGGAAACACACTGTGGGGCCCCGGCACTTCCTACATGGGACCAAGGGCCGAACAGCCCTCCAACCAACCAGCCTCTGAGACCAGCAGAGAATATTGAGGACTAATCGGGATACTGGAGCAGTACCTATACAATGCCTTCGGAAAGTATTCAGACCCCTTGACTTTTTCCACATTTGTTAGGTTACAGCCTTATCCTAAAATTGATTGATTTTTTTTTTCTTCTCATCAATCTACACACAATAACCCATAATGACAAAGCAAAAACATTATTTTAGTTTTTTTTGCAAAAACAAAACAAACAACGGAAATATGACATTTACATAAGTATTCAGACCCTTTACTCTGTACTTTGTTGAAGCACCTTTGGCAGCGATTACAGCCTCGAGTCTTCTTGGGTATGACGCTACAAGCCTGGCACAACTGTATTTGGGGAGTTTCTCCCATTCTTCTCTGCAGATCCTCTCAAGCTCTGTCAGGTTGAATGGGGGGCGTTGCTGCAAAGCTATTTTCAGGTCTCTCCAGAGATGTTCGATCAGGTTCAAGTCCGGGCTCTGGCTGGCCCACTCAAGGACATTCCGAGACTTGTCCCGAAGCCACTCCTGTGTTATCTTGGCTGTGTGCTTAGGATCATTGTCCTGTTGGAAGGTGAACCTTCGCCCCATTCTGAGGTCCTGAGCGCTCTGGAGCAGGTTTTCATCAAGGATCTCTCTGTACTTTGCTCTGTTCATCTTTGCCTCGATCCTGGCTAGTCTCCCAGTGCCTGCCACTGAAAACATCCCTACAGCATGATTCTGTGACAACTGTCGGCCAGGCTTAATGAACACACACTCTCAGTACACACACACACACACTGATCCTTGTCATGCTGTTCCCCTAGCCCTAATCAAGCTCCATGTTTATGTACCTTCTGTAACACACAGTATTTCTGTTTTTAGTTGTATGTAGATTGCTGAGGATTTTTTTTTCTTTAATCCATTTTAAAATAAGGCTGTAACGTAACAAAATGTGGAAAAAGTCAAGGGGTCTACCTCTACCTCTGTCTGTACCCTCTAAAATAAACCCTGGGCTGAGGGTTGAGGGTGGGTAAACAGGCAGGGAGGGCAGGGCAGCTGGACAACTCAGGCAAATCTGCCCCTGGAGGCCTAATCAGTGCTATTTCTGACCCCCGTACCGTCTCTTTCCCCCTGGCTTCAGCCATTACCCCATGACCATAACTGGCTCTGAACCCTTTGGCCTGGGGAACTACTGTAGCAAAGGTTCCTATTCCACTAGCCAAGGTAGAATAAAGTTGCAATTATTCTACAAATTAAAGTATAAATATAACAAAAATACAGAGCCAAGTGTTTAACGGCAAGCATATGTGGGACTCGAAACCCGTATATTAACATTATGCCAACATGGTTCTGCAATTTAAAAGTCTAATAAATAAGCAGAGATTATTATAGCTTAATCCCTGGTCAGTGGGGGAGAGGAGAGCAGAGTGGAGTGTGTCGAAGATTGGATCAACTCATTAGCCTGCAGATTGAATGGCAGGTAGAGGAAATCAACTTTGGCCTCGTTCAGGCTGCTTTTTACCAGCACTACAGTTACAAGGCTCGCCCTGCCCTCCTGCCCTCCAGCCCTCCATCCCCTAACCCCCCTCCATCCCCTAACCCCCCTCCATCCCCTAACCCCCCTCCAGCCCCTAACCCCCCTCCATCCCCTAACCCCCCTCCATCCCCTAACCCCCCTCCAGCCCCTAACCCCCCTCCATCCCCTAACCCCCCTCTAGCCCCTAACCCCCCTCCAGCCCCTAACCCCCCTCCATCCCCTAACCACCCTCTAGCCTCTAACCCCCCTCCATCATCTAACCCCCCTCCAGCCCCTAACCCCCCTCCATCCCCTAACCCCCCTCCATCCCCTAACCCCTCCTCACTGCACTTGCTAATGGTAGCAATAACACCCCCAGCCCCTAGCCCCCAGCCCCAGTCTCCAGCCAACAGCCCCCAGCCCCAATCTCCAGCCCCCAGCCCCAGTCTCCAGTCCCCAGCCCCAATCTCCAGCCCCCAGCCCCAATCTCCAGCCCCCAGCCCCAGTCTCCAGCCCCCAGCCCCAGTCTCCAGCCCCCAGCCCCAGTCTCCAGCCCCCAGCCCCAATTTCCAGCTCCAAGCCCCAGTCTCCAGCCCCCAGCCTCAGTTGCCAGCCCCAAGCCCCAGTCTCCAGCCCCCAGCCCTGTCGCCAGCCCCCAGCCCCAGTCTCCAGCCCCCAGCCTCAGTTGCCAGCCCCAAGCCCCAGTCTCCAGCCCCCAGCCATGTCGCCAGCCCCCAGTCCCAGTCTCCAGCCACCAGCCCCCCAGCACCAGTCTCCAGCCCCAGTCGCCAGCCCCCAGCCCCAGTCTCCAGCCCCTAGCCCCCAGCCCCAGTCTCCAGCTCCCAGCCCCAGTCTCCAACCCCCAGTCTTCAGCCCCCAGCCCCATTCTCCAGTCCTATATGGCAGCTAATTGAGAGGATCAGAAGCACATCAGAGAGCTGCGCTGAATAAATAGGAGCTGAATTTGTCCTCTGATTGGCACCTGTGATGACTGGAGAGCTCCAGGAGATGGGAGTGTGTGTGATGGTGTGTGTGTGATGCGTACAACACACAGATGAGAGACCAATCTAGCCCCGGCACACACACCAGCGCCGTCTTTAAAGCCCGCACAGCCACCAGCATTTTACATGCCTTTAAACTGGCCCTTACAGAGCGCTTAGCCTGCCTTTCATTATTCAGATCTTCAGCTGTGAGGGAGCATAAAGACATGCCACCACCAGCGAGAGGTTTTATACCATTACACCTTTTAATGGCTGAGGCAGGACCACTCCTCACCATCACTAACACTGTGCAAGGTCAAATTCAATTGGAATTTATTGTACAGGAGAAAATGGCATACTCAAATAGTGCTTTTATTTACTGATGAAAATGCTTACTGCATTTATGTTAAATAACCTTAATTTAAATGGACAGAAGACAAAGAAACAGTAAACAATGCTATTTGATTGTCTAAGTTGAACTAAAACAGGGCTTTTGTTTCTTCTAAAGTTTCAAAACCAGAATTGCAAAAGTCAAAGTCTTGCTTCATATTTCTGGAAGAAAACTGCACTTCACAGTATTTCAACAACCGCAGAATTCTGTTTGGTCCAGATGGTTTATTGATATTTCTATCAGTGTTTTGTGTGAGTTGGTTTCATCTGGGGGGAGAGTGGTATGGCCTTTAACACAGCTGGCACAGTTGGACTCACTCACCTTCCCTTTAATGATAGAAATCTAGAGAATGTATTGTTATGACCTTCAGGACTGTGAACTGTAAAGACAGACAATGCAATACACTTCTATGGTCAATATTCATGGTCTGTTTGTGTGGAGGGATGAGAGGATGTGTGTGTGTGTGTGTGTGTGTGCGTGTGTGTGTGTGTGTGTGCACGTGTGTGTGTGTGTATCGTCATGTACTCACCTCACTCCAGACCAGCATGGTGCCAAAGATGACCTGGAGGCCGTCAAAGAAGTTGTCACCTATGATGATGACAGTTGCGCCCCCTGTTGTCCAGCCCTCACTGGGGCTGATGGCTTTGATGCAGGGGGCAGCTGCTCCAAGGTACAGGGCAGTGGAGGGGAGGTGGAGAGGAGAAGGGCGAGACAGACAGGAAGCTTACGGTTAAACCACCTCAGTCTAGGAGGTTAGTTACACAGTTGAGAAACATAATAATCAAGTAGCCCAATAACATCTAATAAAGAACATGGAACACTGAAGACACACAGGACAAGTCAAGGACATTAGCATGAGCACTGAGCCTTAAATGGAATGCAATAGGAACAGGCTAAGTGGTCCTAATTTCAGAAAGCAAGGCTTTCCATGTTCAAGTTTGTGTGTGGTATGTGTGTAAGTATGCATTAACACACACACACACTATAGTCCTGGATCTAGACCTGTGGTAGTGTGTTCTGCATTCAGAGGGAGGGAGGCTGTAGATCATGTTGTGCTTTGACACCGTATCACGCTGGTGACAGGAGGTATGGCTACGGTCCAGGCCCCAGTGAGGTTTGGGGCTTCCCAACCTTCTCCCATGGGAACACAGGGTAACAGGGCTCGCTGTGTGTGTGTGTGTGTGTGTGTGTGTATACACTACCGTTCAAGAGTTTGGGGTCACTTAGAAATGTCCTTGTTTTCGAAAGAAAAGCAATTTTTTTGTCCATTAAAATAACATCAAATTGATCAGAAATTCAGTGTAGACATTGTTAATGTTGTAAATGGCTATTGTAGCTGGAAACGGCTGATTTTTTATGGAATATCTACATAGGCGTACAGAGGCCCATTATCAGCAACCATCAGTCCTGTGTTCCAATGGCACGTTGTGTTTGCTAATCCAAGTTTATCATTTTAAAAGGCTAATTGATAATTAGAAAACCCTTTTGCAATTATGTTGAAAACTGTTGTGCTGATTAAAGAAGCAATAAAACTGGCCTTCTTGAGACTAGTTGAGTATCTGGAGCATCGGCAATTGTGGGTTCGATTACAGGCTCAAAATGGCCAGAAACAAATAACTTTCTTCTGAAACTCGTCAGTCTATTCTTGTTCTGAGAAATGAAGGCTATTCTATGCGAGAAATTGCCAAGAAACTGAAGATCTCGTACAACGCTGTGTACTACTCCCTTCACAGAACAGCGCAAACTGGCTCTAACCAGAATAGAAAGATGAGTGGGAGGCCCCGGTGCACCAGTTGTGCACCAGTTGTGCACCGGGGCCTCCCACTCCTCTTTCTATTCTGGTTAGAGTCAGTCAACTAGTCAACTAGTCTTGAGAAGGCCAGTTTTATTGCTTCTTTAATCAGCACAACAGTTTTCAACTGTGCTAACATAATTGCAAAAGGGTTTTCTAATGATCAATTAGTCTTTTAAATGATACATTTGGATTAGCAAACACAACGTGCCATTGGAACACAGGACTGATGGTTGCTGATAATGGGCCTCTGTACGCCTATGTAGATATTCCATTAAAAACCAGCTGTTTCCAGCTACAATAGCCATTTACAACATTAGCAATGTCTACACTGAATTTCTGATCAATTTGATGTTATTTTAATGGGAGGAAAAACATTTTTATTTAGAAAAAAATGACATTTCTAAGTGACCCCAAACTTTTGAATGGTAGTGTGCATGTGTATGTCTGTCTGTGTGTGTGTGTGTGTGTGTGTGTGTGTGTAGGTGTGTGTGCTAGAAAATGGGCTCTTGTGATTTGACACCTCTCAGTCTATAAGCATGGGGCCAAAGCAGGAAACCAAAAACACACAAAATCCTCCAACAGCTGGATCTAACTAAGAGTGCAGCGCTGTGCTCCCCCCCCCCCCACACACACACACACACACCATGCCCCCCAGAAGACTGATGGTGGTTTTAACAGCTCTGAATGGAGATCAGGCAGAAAAGCAAAGGATCTATTACAGCTGGAACGCACACCCAGTGCCTCTTTAAAGTCCTTTAAGACTGCTGCAAAACACACTTCTCACACCTCATGATGATGTGGCCGGTGACACTTTGCTTCTTGAAAGTCCAATATCTTGAAAACTTGACTGATGACATGCAAAACATTTTGGGACTGTATCAACTGCGGACTAATTAATAAAATACCAAAATATCGTTTTTGAGTGGACTTTCCCTTTAATAATAATAGCCTTCTTTGGCTTACCGAAAAACGACTAACTTTCAAACCTCAAATAAACACATGTTAGTCTTCTTTATTTTACATTTATTGGTCATGTCAGCTTTGCGAGAGGAAAAGTAATCCAGTAGTATTTAGTGGGATGAATTGAGATGAATCTCTCTCCTCAGGCTGAGGCTCCTTTGCTAACTTGCTTATTGTGGATGCCCGACCATAATGCAATTTGGCCCAGTGGTAAACTAGGAGGGATGAGGAGGGTCTGGGCCAGCAATCTGTGACAGTAATCTTGGCCTAAGTCGCCTATTTCGCCCGTGCTGAAATTGTGCGTGTATTAACCAGATGGAGGAGCGCCAATCCATCTGATAGGATTAAACTTGCCCAGCCTTTCTCCTCGCCATCTGGGCCCCGTGCTGCTCGCTTGCTCGCCGTGCAACATACTACACACACACACTCACGCACACACACACACACACACACTCACACACACACTTGCACACATGCACGCACACTCACACTCACACACGCATACAAGGAAATGCATACCGAACATAAAAAACTAACATTTAGCCATAAACACATACAAACACCTTTTAACCCTGGCATGATCGTGTGCAAACAGACAGAGAGAAGTACGGACTCACACACAGACAGACAGCCACACGTGAGGCCACTCATACAGTACAGTAACTCCACCAGGGACAGATTGCTGTCCCTCCTCTTTCCTCGGGTCCCCTGGGGGCTCCTTTTTCCGCTTTCCCTCCATCCCTGTCTTTCTCTCTCTCCCTCTCTCTCCCTCTCTCTTCTTCTCTCTTCCGCTCTCACCGTGGGCAGGCTTCCCCTGTCTTCCCTGCTGTAGGATTCTCTTAGCAGACGGACCTTTGTCTGCAGGCTGCTGGGGCGTGTGTACGGAAGTGTGTGTGTGTGTGTGTGTGCGTGTTCGCGTGCATGTGTGTGTGTGTGCCTGTGTGTGCGTGTGTGTGTGTGTGGGGGGGGGGGGACTCTCAGACTCTCAGATCCATCCACAAGTGTGTGTGATGGCCACAGAGAGAGTCCTGCTGTAGTGCTCTTCCTTGTCAAACAGATATGGAGGAGGAAGAGCAGACTATAGCACTACAACCACGTAATTTCAATCTGTACAACAGGGACTTCTTCTATTCTCGGGCCCAAGCTAAACTGACCTCAGAACAGCGTATAGGGGCTTCTTCTCCTGACCACAGGAGACCATCCAGGCTTATCACCCCATCCAAGGCCAGTGGAGAAATAAGCACATCATATGTCTCATTTGATGAGGAGCATGAGAAAACAGATTCCGCCTCACTCCTAAATCCTTCTGCTACAAAATGAGAAAGTGATTGGATTTGTCTAAACAACCCAGTGGCCATGGCGATGGCATGCGTGGCTGTAGTGTTAAGGCGTTAAGCGTTCCTCTCTCTTTAACCTGCGAGGGCCTGGCTGGCCCTGGGTCTGTAGTCCTGCTTCAGACAGAGAGAGGCTCAGCGCTAAGGCCCCCTGCCTCTGAGGAAATATGTGTGCTTCCTTAAGCCTGTGGATCCTCATGAAGCATACTTGCAATCAAAGACAGCAGGCGCCACTGGGGAAATGACTGCTTTGTTGCTCCGTCTCATCCTTTAAGAGCCCCCCGAAAAGCCTTTTTGCTCAGCAATGAGTAAAAAAGTGAATTTTACCCATCCATTATTGAGAAGGGGAGCTGTCAATGGTAATCCATTGTGATGCATATGGCCGTGTGTGTGTGTGTGTGTGCTTGTGCGTGCGTGAGTGCATTTCATCACCATGTCTCGAGGTAAATCTGCCCTGACAACGCCTTGACAACGCCCTGACAACGCCCTGACAACGCCCTGACAACCAGACCTACATTAACTAACACATTTCGTTTTTAATCATCTGGGAAAACATGTTGGGTCTCGTCTATAACGGATGAGGATAAATAAAACAAACCAATCATTGAGGAGACAGTGAACCATGTGAACCAATGACCTGTCAGGGCACTGAAGCGCATCATCTTCAGCCCATTATGTTTTATCAAAGGAACCAACATAACTGGTCCCAGATCTGTTTGTGCTTTTGTCTACTCATTTTACATTTACATTTTAGTCATTTAGCAGACGCTCTTATCCAGAGCGACTTACAGTAGTGAGTTCATACATTTTCATACTGGCCCCCTGTGGGAAACGAACCCACAACCCTGGCGCTGCAAGCGCCATGCTCTACCAACTGAGCTACAAGGGACTACTCCATAGTCATTGTCAATCAAAACAATTCCATAAGGAGTTGGCAAGAGAGCAGAAGCAGACTGGCACCCAGGCTAACATAACTGTGGTGTACAGAAAATGACATGGAGGAACCCTGGCACTGGAGAAGCAGTTTGCTTTTGAGATCTTTATTCCTATGTAGGAGAAGTTAATTTACACTGATCTGTCCCCATCCCTTCCCTGACCAGTGAGACAGGTTAGTGTACTAATGAGGCTCCCTTCCTCTGCACCAATGAACGCATGTAGAGAAGGGGAGTGGGCTGAAGTCTTCACAACCATGTACCTACTCTACCTCTCACTGCACACCATCGTCTGTCTGTGGTACACAATACACACTCGTAGATTCCTTCATTCCTGTGCGGCGGCGTGTAAATGTGTGTGTGAACGTGTGTGTGGCGTGTGTGTGTTGCGTGTGTGTGTTGTGTGTGTGTGTTGCGTGTGTGTGTGAACGTGTGTGTGTTGCGTGTCGTCTGGCCCTGGTGCATATTTAATAATGAGATAATAAAGTGCAGGAGCATGCGATCTGACAGGGTCCCTGTGCTGTGGCTCTCCTTCTCCCCCCACCCTGCCACCCTGTCCCTGGACAGAGGGAGATGAATGGAGGGGACGTTTGGCTCCTGTTAGTGTTTATGCCACAAACCCATCCAGCCAGATAACATGTTATTATCTTTATGGGGGGGGGGGGGGGGAGACTGCTTCTCCTCTGTGTGACAATAGCGGAGCTGTCCCCGACACAGACAGACACACACAGAGGCAAATGGATAGAGACAGACAGACAGACAAACACAGAGAGACAGAGACTCAGACTGATATACTGTAGACTGACTGACTGACAGACAGATGGACGGTCAGACCAGACAGACAGACTGAGAGACAGACAGCCGTACAGTAGAAAAGTGAGAGGGTGCCTACCATGCTCCAGGTATGATGGCGTACCTTCCGAGGGGTCCAGTCTACGGGCCCGGCGGCCGTGTTTGGAGTTGTTGTGGACAAACATGTTGTCAGAGACCGCCAGGACATGGCCGTCCACACTGACCGTCGTAGACACCACCACCTGGACATAGTCACACACACAGAGAGTTCAAAGGTTAGGATATTATGACAGATCTAACTCCCTACTAGGGTGTCTCCTCGACAATACACATCACTGTAAATTATAGTTTACCCTCCAGATCAGAGCATTCCATCTACAACCTCAAACTAGACCAGAATAGTGACACAAGGGATGAAATCCTGAAACTCCTAAAGCATATTTATGCATTTTCGATACTGAACAATTAGGACTTCATCTGAATTATTATTGTATTTTCATATAAGACCACTGTGTTGAGAAAGACGGTGTGTATGAGTGTACTCTGTGGATATACATGTATACGTCTGTGTGTGTGTGCCTCGACATTCTCCCTTTGCTGCTTGAGAAAACTGCAACAGGGGACAAGAAACAACAACATGCTTCTAATCCAAACTAACACTGGCCCTCATCACCTTGGAGAAACAAACAGAGAAACTGTTTCCTTTAACTCCACCCTTCCTCCTTCCCCCAGTACCCCATTTCCCCTCCTCTATCAGTGGTGCTGTGATTGTACTGCTCCCTCCTCTCTAATCCTTCCCTTTCTTTGTGCTAATGAACACACACAAACACATACCCCTCCACACACACACACGTCTCTCGATCCCCAGTGTCTTTATCAAAGTCCTGCAGCATGTCCTCCTGTGCTGTGTGTTTGTGTCTCTATCTCTCTATCTCTCTCTCTCTCTCTCCCTCTCTCTCTCCCTGGGCCCGGGACCGCTGGCTGATAGACTGACATGCAGATTAATTTAATTAAAAGCGTCCCTCACTCGAGTGCCCAGAGACAATGGGAGGCAGCTAATGGGTTGCTGTAGTAGCGGACTGTGTTGCTGCTGAGTGCCATTACTGTGGGGCCAATAGAAACCGGGCTGGGCTAAGCTGGGCTGGGCTAGGGGGACTCCCCTGGAGCTCAGAAGAGCCTCTCGTTTCAATTGCTCTGCAGCTTCAAGAGGCTCCTGCCTCTCTTGAAAAGAACTTGGCAAACACCAGCGCTAGTCTCCCTGGGCCAGACACACTTATTCTCTTCAAGCTGCCACACAGCCCTCCGTGCCTGAACTCCCTGCCTCAATCCCCAAAGAAGCTCACAGCTCTACCTCCCCTCTCTCTGTTTCCCTCATTGTCACCCCCCCCCCCCCCCTCCCCTCTCTCTCTCCTCTCCTCTCTCTCTCTCTCTCTCTCCCGTCTCCTCTCTCTCTCTCTCTCTCCTCTCTCTCTTTCTCTGTTCTCTGTCCTCTGTCTCTCTCTCTCTTTCCCTTGGTCTCTCTTGTAGTTGGAGTATCTTACAAAGTTCTCAGTGATTTCTCAGACCACAGGCATGTCACTGGTTGGGCTGAGGACACAAGGGAGATGTTCGCACCTCTTGTCAGTGAATGAAGAAACACACACAGACACACACACAGAGCACATTTCTGAAGCGTTATTGGTGTTGTGTTGCATATGCCAGTAATGAGCGCACTGTAATGTATGTATATACACACAGTCCCTCCCCAGCCTGCCGCTCCTCCACACTACACTGGCCTAGAGTGTGTGAGTTATGGATGGGTCCGGCTGCTAATTAAGCCCAAGGAAACACAGGCCTGTCTACTGAAGTTCCACTACAATAGAGCCCAATAATTAGAGTCAAAGTGGAGCAATAGACAGCGCCAGCCCTCAATGCCTGTCCAATCACAGACAGGATTATAGCCTGCACAACTGTTTAAACACTAAGGGCATCTTCCGATAAGAGAGACACTCTGAGGAGCTACACACACACACATTAAAACACACACACACACACATTAAAACACACACACACACCAAAAACACAAACACACAGGCACGTGTGCTGTGTAATAAATCTGTCAGCAGAACAGAGGTCTAGTATATCTCAAGTGTTCACTTCCTAATTCAGCTCTGACTTTTAAAGATAAGGAAATAGATTTGTTGCCTTATCCGCTGCCTTCACTCCCCCTTGCCTCCCCTCCCCCACCTTTCTCTTCACCCCTAAATGAAATAACAAGAGAGTGAAGTGCATTGATGTGTGAGTGAGAGAGATATAAAGAGAAAGAAGAAGAAGAAGAAGAAGAAGAAAGAGAGATATTGTGCATTTAAGAAAGAGAGAGTGAGAGATGGATGGTGGAAAAAGAGAGAAAAATACAAAAGGGAGGATGGAAAGAGGTGGATGGTTTCCACGCCTGCCTCTGTGGTCCCAATTAAGGCAGGCTAAGAGGAGGGGTGGAAGAGAGGAGAGGAGAGAAGAGCATAGCTAACTAACCCTGCTGTCTGTGTCTGAGCCCCTCTCTGTGGTCTGACAGCCTCCCTCTAATTACACTGTCACCACTGGACTGGAACCACACACAGCCATGGCTAAGGCCACACACACACACACACACACACACACACACACACACACCACAGGAGGCTGCTGAGGGGAAAATGGTTCATAATAATGGCTGGAATGGAGTGCATGGAATGGTATCAAACACATGGAAAATATGTGTTTGATGAGTTTGATACCATTCCATTAATTCCATTCCAGCCATTACCATGAGCCCGCCCTCCCCAATTAAAGTGCCACCAACCTCCTGTGACACACACCTCAACACTGAGACTCACCTTAACACCACCAGTAAGAACCTGAGACCCACCTCATTCCTGAGACCCACCACATCTCATCCCTGAGACACACCGCATCCCTGAGACCCACATCATCTCATCCCTAAAACCCACCTCATCTCAATCCCCTGAGACACACCTCATCCCTGAGACCCACCTCATTCCCTGAGACCCCACCTCATCCCTGAGACCCCACTCATCCTGAATACCACCTCATCCCTGAGACCCCACATCATATCCCTGAGACACAACCTGCATCCCTGATGACCCACATCATCGCATCCCTAAAACCCAACCTCATCTCATACCTGAGACCCACCTCATCCCTAGAACCCACCTCAGCCGCTGAGACCCACATCATCCCTGAGACCCACCGCATTCCCGGAGACCCACCTCAATCCGCTGAGACCCACCTCATCTCATCCCTAAACCCACCTCCTCGCATACCTGAGACACACTCATCCCTGATGACACCACCGCATCCCTGAGACCCACATCATCCCTGAGACCCACCGCATCCCTGAGAACCCACCTCATCCCTGATACCCACCTCATCTCATCCCTAAAACCCACCTCATCTCATACCTGAGACCCACCTCATCCCTGAGACCCACCTCATCCCTGAGACCCACCTCATCCCTGAGACCCACCCCATCCCTGAGACCCACCCCATCCCTGAGACCCACCTCATCCCTGAGACCCACCTCATCCCTGAGACCCACCTCATCCCTGATACCCACCTCATCCCTGAGACCATCCTCATCCCTGATACCCACCTCATCCCTGATACCCTGGGTCTGCAAGAATGGTGCTGCACTATATACTGTGCCACACCTATCTGGAAGATGTGTGTACGTGTGTGTTAGTTGGTTCAAAGGTGCACTGTGCCTCCTGTAGCTCAGTTGGTAGAGCATGGCGCTTGCAACGCCAGGGTTGTGGGTTCGATTCCCACGGGGGGGCAGTATGAAAAATGTATGCACTCACTAACTGTGAGTCGCTCTGGATAAGAGCGTCTGCTAAATTACTAAAATGTAAATGTAATTATGCTAGGCTGTGTGTGTGTGTGCAGGGAAGAATACACAACCCTCTGACCTAACAGAGCTACAGAGGGAAGATAAGAGACAGGAGGGAGAAAAGAGATAAGGAGAGAGGGAGTGGATAGAGAGGAAAGAGGGTTAAGTAAATAGATCCGAGGGGAGTGAGAAGAAGTTGTGGGGAGATAGAGAGGAGAGGTAGAAAAAGGGAATAAGAAATGTGATTTCTTAACCTGGAAGCGGCGCATGTCCCGCGGGTTCCCTGCATTCTTCAGACAGTTCTGGTTACATTTCAGGAAAAACTTCAGGAAGAACCTGTAAAAAACACAGAAGGAAGTTTAGTCAGCCCACTGGACAGGCAAAGTACAGAGAGTCAGAAAGGCTGTTTGTGACCTGCACTGAATTCTGTTGGGGTTTAAATCTCTCATAACCATTTCGATACAAAAGATTGTATCGTGATGACACCATCCCTGTCACCATTGAGCAGCAGTGCAGTTTCCACACAAACTCTGTCTATGTCATTACAGTTTGGTCAGTGGCTCAATCTTCTACCACAGTAGCAGCCCTACAGAATTTCCACATTGATTTTGGTCTGTGTGTCTGTCTGTCTGTCTGTCTGTCTGTCTGTCTGTCTGTCTGTCTGTCTGTCTGTCTGTCTGTCTGTCTGTCTGTCTGTCTGTCTGTCTGTCTGTCTGTCTGTCTGTCTGTCTGTCTGTCTGTCTGTGTGTGTGTGTGTGTGTGTGTGTGTGTGTGTGTGTGTGTGTGTGTGTGTGTGTTTGTGTGTGTGTGTTGTGTGTGTGTGTGTGTGTGGTGTGTGTGTGTGTGTGTGTGTGGTGTGTGTGTGTGTGTGTGTGTGTGTGTGTGTGTGTGGTGTGTGTGTGTGTGTGTGTGTGTGCTGTCAGCGGCTCGTCACTTAGCGAGGAGACCCATGAAGGTCATGGACACAGGATCCCCCCTGACCACATGACCTTTCAGCGTCCTAAAATGTCCACATAGTCTCACACACACACACACACACTAGACACACACACAAACACGTGCACGCAAGCATGCTTACACAGAAACACACACCACACACACACACACACAAACACACACAGTAACAGGCAGAGTGGTGAAATGTGGAGCAGGTCCATCTGTCGCTGGACAGAGACGGTTTTGACAGCCCACTGATCCACAGCCTTATGTGGCCATGTCTCTTACAGAGAGAGGGTCACTAGGGACCAGCTTGCCGGGCCCAGCCGCACTGCTGCTCAGGCCGACACACACACACACACACACACACACACACACACACACACACACACACACACACACACACACACACACACACACACACAAAATCCCACACACACACGCACTCCTTTATCTCTGTAAAACCTCTCCCTTCTTGTCATACATGTACACACATACAGTGACATTCTCCAAAATAACCGCGATGGATTCTCACGTAAATAGTTTCTCCCACACAGATGGGTGCTAAACTCACAAACAGGTTTTTCCAGGTTGTGTTCTGGTGCTCCAGCTGGCGAGGGCACACACACACACACACACACACACACACACCACACACACACACACACACACACACACACACACACACACACCACACACACACACACACACACACACACAGTAACAAGCTGGGATGGGATAGGGAGGGAGGAGTGGTGTGTGTAAATGGCAACACATTCCAGTGGACTAGGAAAACTACCGGGTAGCTGACGACATGGCCGACCCAGCCAAAGTATGCCCACACAACAGGAGGACGCAGCTAAATTAACACACTTGTATTATCACGTGTCCATACCACAAGATCAATATGCCACCATGGTATTTCAGTTCACTTTCAATGTGCAATTACCATCGCTTCTTTCTTTTCTCCCGTCTCCTCTCTTCTCTTCTGCGTCACCGGGACAGTGATAGTGTGTGTGTGTGAGTCTGGGTGTAGGCTAGTACAGTGACAGGTTCCTTACAGTAACATCAGAGCAGAGCACTGAG